ATTTAGGGATTAATTATATATTAACCTAAATTAAAATTAAACATAATTTGACGATTAAAGTATGTAATTGGGTCATATGAGTATTGGGTTTCGAATCGACTTGATTCACAAACTTTGTCCAAAACCCAATTTAACATGAATTAAAGTGGATTAATATTACTCAAAGAATTTGGCTTGGCCCAAAATTATCCAATGGCCGACCAAAGCCTATGGAAACCTCTATAAATAGAGAGGATCTTGAGAGAATTCACACCAAATTGAAGACTGCTTGTTGAAGATTCGAAGACCAACTTGAAGACTTTGAATACTTGAAGACTTGAAAATTTTTGAACAACATATAACTTCGATCCAAATTCAAGAACATATATTTTCACATCAAGTTCGAGAGAAAGAATCAGATGATAAAGATTAGAGATTGAATCTACTATACAACACATACAAACAATATAAAAGTTCCAACTCTACGAAACTTAATCTCTCCGAAAATCTCGTGTGAACCCTTAGAATTGAAACAAAAATCTATATAAGCTTTGTTATTTTATGCCCTTTTTTCTTTTGAGTTCATTAGTCCTTTGGCGTTGATCTTTACAAAAAAATGTTTATTATTAATGGCAATTTATTTGACATTAGCATATAATGTCTAATTAAAATTTTAAAGAATCACTTCAACTAAAAAAATATTAATATATTTGTTATTATAATAAAATATTATTGGATTTTATATTTTGTGATTGATGGAAAGGTTATTGTCAATATGTTTAGGTGTAATTAGCATGTAGTTCTTCTCTTAAGGTGGGAGGCTCGAACTTCTTTACCTCCAATTTGTTTGTACTTAGAAAAGATGAAAATGCTATTTAAAATAAAATAGAAAAGAGAAAAATTAATTTGTACTCTTAGACTTCACCAACTGCAAATTTCAACGTAAACTTTTAATTTCATCTAATTGGTTCATAAAATTTGACAAGTGTTATAATTTTAACCTTTGTAAATTTTTACTGATTCACCCACAAAATTTTAACAAAAATATGTGTGTATATATATTATGGAAACTTAATAATGTAGTGAAAATCAATATTTGCACAAAATTAACGATTAAATAACTTTGTTACAACTTACAAATTTCAACCCACGAAAAAAGTTAGCTCTAATGTCTTTTTTTTTTTTTTTCTAACTCCTATCAATTTCATTCTAAAATATATATTTTATAATTCATTGAGCACGCATGTACAAAATTGGAGACTCTTGTTCGTTAACAAAATTCGAGATAAGATTTGTGTATTTTGCATATCGCCAACCAACCACAACTGCAGATACGTTAGAAAGCAATTGTTGAAATTGCTACCTAATTCAAATATTTAAATATTCATCTATTTAATTAATAAATAAAAGGTAATAGTTACTTTCATTTTGCAGGATGTAAATTTAAATCTTTTGGGTTGAACCTTTATTATTTATAAAAAAGTTCCTATCAGATGGGATAAATAGGAACACCCATTATAAATTCTTATTTCTTTTTCCTCGTATGAATTGCCTTGTATTTTGAGATCATCTTAGGCCATATGAATTTAAGTTATTTCAATACTTCAAACTTGATCAAGTTTAATGAGTAAACCTTCCTTTGCGAAATTTTTTTATCTTTAACTCAAAAAAAAAAAAGAGACCATGGCTAGTGAGTTTGGTCTTAATTCTAGAAAATAATTAGGTTTTCGTTGGTTTTTAATATCATAAAAAGACATGTGAAAGTGGAGATTTGAATATTCGATTTTTTGGTCGAGCATATATCCAAAACATAATTAATGGTATGTTCATCCAAAAATAAAAATATATTAGATTTGCAACCTATAACTCATAAAATGATCTTGATTTAGCCGGACATGGTGCTAAAAAGTAGATATTGGTTTTTTTTAGTTCAACAATGCTAGGAAGTGGAGGACTCAATTTTCAACCTTAGAAAATGATTGGTTGGTATTCCATCAAAGCTATAGCTGCAAAATTGTTTTGGTTCCAACGTAAATACAGGTTGGTGTATTGGTAAAAATAGGTAGATTTAGGGTCTGAGTTAATTAATTGTTTTAAATTAGTTTGGTGAACACTTATTCCTAATTAATCTATGTAATTAGTTGAACTTTAACTTCGTTGTTACTTGTACAATTTGAAGATATTTGCAATAATTATTGTAGGACTAACAAGGGTGTCCATTTTTTCAATGGACTCCGTGGGACCTGCCCCAAACGAAGTGGGGGTAGGAAAATTTCTTTTTCCTATCACCTAAACGGGGATGGGGAATGTGATCTCCATCCTCGTCCCCACTCCACGTTTAATCTCGTTCAAATTTTATTGCTGAGATGTTGTAGTTTTTTTTATATGTTTATCTATAATTTTATATAGATAATTAGACTAAAATGAAATATTATATTTTTTTATTAAGTGTTTTAAGATTTTTTTTCCCTTTGAATGGGGAGAAATAAACCGAGATTTTATTTTTTGGAGTAAGCAATTAATTATAATTTTATTAAAAACATCATTTAATAGTGAAATTAATTAAAATAATAAAAAGTATCTGAAAAAAATCAAGATAATAAAAAGAATAAATAGGGGATGATTGCCCGCAGGGACTCCGATCCATGTGAATTTCCCACCCTGATTTCCACGAAATTTTGTGGGGAATTTCGTAGGAATGGGAGACAAAATGGGGTGATGGGGACGGAAAAGCTTTCTCGTTCGTGTCCTGCTCCCTCAATAGTCATAGGACTAATTGGTGGGTTGAAGTTGTATACATGAATCATTGATTAGCAATTAGTTGACTTTTTGGTTAAAATTATTGTCAAAATTACACATTATTTATTTGAATATACAAGGTTTAATTTGCATTTATAAAGCCAATTATTCGAGCCTAATTAGGTGGATAAAGGTACCTATTACTATTTCAAAAAGATCGATAGATCCTCTATTATAAAAGATCAATAAACTCAATATATATATATATAAAAGATCAATAATTTGATCCTCTATTCCATCTTGCTAAATTCAAAAAATATATATATAATTTTTAATAATTGTTGCGATTTTTATATTTAAACTTGAATGAATGTTAAAATTAAGATAAAAGGAGTTCTAACCATGGCTTAAAATCATTTCTCACGCTTTAAAAATTAAAATGTCTTTTTTCTTTAATTTCAGAGCTCAAATAAATACCAATCTCAATTCTCATAGTATTTTGCAGTTCGAGGTATTGACTTATTGTCATGCTTGGTGGTTATCTTTGGTTCATATGAAGTAATTCAAAAGGGACATGGCCTTATATTTTATTCAATAATGGCACTTTTGTCAAGACTTTGTGATACCAAATAATTTTGTAATTCATCAACTTCAACAATTAAAAGATATTAGAAATATTTTTTAAACATCAAAAGTCGAAGACTTGATCTTGTATTTGTATATGGGTATGTTCTAAATATATATAATAATAATAATAATAGTAAAAAATAATGATTGACAGTGTTGAACAACGTAATTAAGATACACGAAATTAAAATTCAAGAGATTAAGTTAAAATAATGATAATTAGTGTTATTTTATATGATAGTCATCAATTAATACAAATTGATGATTAAATTAATTATTGACTAACTATAATTTTAACCATAACTATACCTACCGGTTGATTAATTATAATTATTTATTTACGTATTCTGATTTTTTTATAGTTTTAATTATTTTGTCACTATTATTTTGTAAAACTATATTTTTTGTAAATCTAAATTGTAATAGATTTAAACTAATTTTTTATTACCATTTTAAAGATCCATGGGTTGATCTTCAATCTTATAATTATATTTAACTAAAAATACATATAATAAAATATTATTATTAAACACTAAACCTAACTAATAGGTATATAATTACGTCAATTTAGGTGAGATGTTGTGGTGCACTTATTCGTTCCTATGACCCATAAATTAGGTTAAATTTTTATCTTTCGTGTGTAATTTGGTGTCTTCAATTATCAAATTTAGAAAGTTAAACAACAAAATTTGTGGTTATAGTTCATATGTATCATTGTCTAAAAAGTTTTACTTTAATCTTTGGATTTAATTTCAATTTTAATTTGGTTCATATAATTTTAAAAATTTCAATTTCAACCTTATAAGTTTAGAGATTTCAATTTAGTCCGTTTAAATTTAGTTCATAAGGTTCCAAACCTCACATCATCATTATCATATATCATATTTGACACTTTTTTTGTGATTATGAACTTTTTTTTTATATAATTTGGCTAATTTTTTTAGTCAACCATGTAAGGTTTAGAGCTTAGTAAAAAAAAGATTGTTTTTTAAGTGGATAAAAGATAATTTATAGACAATTTGAGATGTCTAAACCAAAATGAAACTGATCGTAGAAACTAAATTGAAACGTTCAGACCATCAAACTATCTGGAACCATAGAAACTAAATTTATACTACAAACCATGTTAACAAAATTTTCACTTTTTGATCAGCAAAAGCTTTCATAAATAAGCCCCCATCATAAAATTAATTTCAACTTTAATTTCCTTTTAGATCTCCTTAAACATCAACACCGTTAATAGGTATCATGTCCAAGTCCAAATCGACAACTTAATTCATCCAATTCAAAGAATTTAAGTCAACTTATGATCTGCTCGCCTTTCTAATCTGTTCGGTTGGCAAAAATGGAAAAAAAATCATCTAACTTCAACTTCTTCATACCCATTCCTAATTGGTCTATCAAAGCACAAACCAAACTATAACATTCGAAAAATATATAATACATCTATTATCATTTGAAAGATTGATAATTTGATCTCGACCTCGTCTGTTCACCCAGAAGAGAAAATAATCTTATATTTGGATTGACAACGAAATTCATGCTAATTGTGGAAGAAACGTTGATTTCAACCGTAGGCTGACGTGGAGCCGAGACATCATCCATCCCAATCCCATCATATTTTTTTATTTATATATTGGAAAAATGCTTCCACTTTTCCCTCAAAGATAAGGTCCCATCTGATTCGGACGTAACGACCTGCTCCCTCTCAACCGCACTCTCCGGCGCGTGACTTCCACGCTCTTCTCTTCCTCGATTCTCGCCAAACGGATATACTGCTCCTCAGATCTCTTCCTCTAATTTTCTTTCCGTTTTTCCCTCTCCCCAAACAGATTTTAATCCGGGAAAATTTCATTCCCACTGGGCTGCGCGAGATTCCTTCCGCCGGAGCATTTTCTACCCGGCATCTCGCGATAGTTTTACTTTCCCTTCCCCCATTTTCTTCTCCTTTCTCGGGAATTTAATCTTCTGTGTGCACAGTGATCGGAGTTTTCCACATCTGTGTTCTGACTAGAGCGCTGCGATCTTCCCAATTCGACCGTTCTGTGGATAGAGTAGAGTTCGTTGGTTGGTTTATGTTTATCCAGAAATTGGGGACGTTTCTGAGGGACGAATAATGATGAGGAGGCCGCGAGAAGATCCGCAATCTAGGGTTTTGCATGAGATTTCGTCTCTGCTTATGAAAATTCTCCGATCGCCGCCACCGCCGGTGCCTTTTTCCGATCACGTTCTTGAATTGTCGTCGGTTATTTCATCTTCGTCGGGATTATTGCCTTCGTCGCAGATTACGCCGGCTGGACTTGCGTCGCTGCTGCTCGGAATTTCGCTGGCTTTGATGCTCTGTGGATCGGTTACTTTCTTCCTTGGTTTCTTGTTAATGCCTTGGATTCTCGTGTTGGTGATGATTTTCTACGTGGTTGGGATTGTCTCCAGCCTCTCTATGTTGGGACGCTCTATACTTTGTTGTTTCTCCGCTCCAACGCCTCGGAAAGATTTTAATGGCAAGTTTCTTATCTGCCTATGTTTTCTTATTCTATTGGATTTGGATTTTACTTCATTTCCTCATCTGAATTTTCTTTCTGGAAGTTTGGCATCATCGTTATATGCATAGTATCTATGTATGTGAATTCTCTTGAGGCTTCTGCGTTTGCTTGTGCAATGATTCGTTTGTTTTGTCATTAATTGATGTTCTCTTCGCTTTGTTGATTATTTGCCTGAAGTTTCTCAATCAAAGTTTTGGAAACTTGTCAATATAGAAGCACATCTATGTATATATCTAAATTTTCTCAAAACTTTTTAAGATTTTGTAGGGGTGCCCTACCCTACTTGTAAGGACTTGGGGATGAAGATACCCTCTAAGATGAAAGATCTATGGGTTCAAGTTGTTGAAAATATAATTACACTTGATGTCTCACAGAGCTGTTTATGAATTAATTGGGTGGACGGACCACGAACATAATGCAAGAATTGCGTCCCAATGTCCCGCGATTCGGTTGTATCTTGTTCAATAACTCATGAATTATCTTGTCAATAATTGATGTTGACTTCATTTTTTTGATTCCGTTATCTGAATTTTCTTATCTTAGGCTTCTGTTTTTGGTTTTGCCAGATCCATTTCTATCTTGTTTAATAACTAGCGAATGAGTCAATTGCAATACAGAGTCAAAAAGAAATTTTTGCTAGGATAGTTCATTATGGAGTGGAAGAATATGAGATGTATTTTTGCTTATTTCGTATCAATTATTTTCTTTTACTTTGATGAAATGAATTCAATATTTGTCATCTCCTTGCAGACCCCAAATATGAATATGCTTAAACTTTAAGGATTTGGGTGTCTTGTGTATATGCGTCCAGAATGCTTGGATTTGTAGGATTTCTGGTATGGTGCATATGTTTCCATGTCTGTGGTGGGGGATTAGGTTGGGTTTGCTCGCAGACCCTACTGAATTATGTCTATCCTCTGTTAGTGAGGCGATTTTTGACAGGGGTTGCAGCTATATGACTGATGTTTAAAGCTGTTGATCAAATTTTCGTTATATTGATGAATTATTGATGAATTCGATTACTGAATATGTGACTGATGCTTTAGAGTATTTCAGGTTGTTAACTGTACTTATATGTAAAATTGTTGCTGCAGCTTGGAAACAAATGTAAATATGAAGAACTTGGGTTATACCAGATAGTTGAATTATTTACCTGAGGATGTAGGAGAATCAGAGTAAAGATGCCTTTGTGAATGAATGGTGCTGCCTCTAGAAATATATATAGGCAAAATGAAGTTTGAATTATTTCCACAATTTGTTGTACTTTTTTTTTAATTCAACAAGGTGTGGGGGTGGGGATTCGAATCTCCGACCGTTTGGTCGAGAATATATACCTTAGCCAGTTGAGCTATGTTCATGTTGGTATTGTTGTACTTGAACTTGTGGAGTGGATATTGTGTAATGAATTTTCCTACTTTTAAGACCTTTTCAGCTCAATTCTTCCACTGTTGTCACTGTGCGAAATGCCCCTCAGGCTACCAAAAAAAAAAAGACGATATCGAAATTGACAATTAGTCTTGACGATGCAGAAGGTTATGAGCGAGGGTGTGTTTCTGCTTTCTTTGGAGCCTAAAGGCTTCCTTCCTCAGAAATCTTAGACTAGACTCTCTCAGGTACGAGTTTTCTTGTGTTAATGTATTAGATTCTTTACTTTTTCCTGTATTTGCTTAGAATGGGTCTAAGATTTTTAATGGTTTGTGTACATAGACAATATTTGTTGGTGGATTTGCTTATCATTCACGCTTATGAAACTCAGCTGCTCTGTATACTGAAATAGTTTAAAAATCATAAAATTCATGAGCTGAATACAAGTTACATAAATTCAAGTTTCTGTAATCTATTTATTTGTATGTTTGAAGTCTATAGTTTGCAATTCATGGTTGACAGATAGAGTCAAGTTCCTATATTGCAACTATGAAAAGATAGGACCAGTCTCAATGTTCACTCATCACATAGAAAACTCAAAAACGAAGAACAAACCGAACGGTGCATTACATTAGGGAATTAGGAACTAAAAAAGAAGAGAGCGAAGTCGAGGAAACTTTATGCAGGAACCAAACTAGAGCCGAGTCTTCTTAGAGGTAGCATCAGGGAAGAAGAATCAACCGATGTAGAGGTGAACCTTGACGGCGAGCAAGAAGACGCAAATGAGACCGAAGTAGAGAAGCGAGTGAACGAGAATGGCAGCGGCACTGGTGTGAAAGTTGCCAAACTCCAAGCACCTGCGATGGCCAGGGAGCTGAAAGAGCAACCCTGGAGTTAGCAAAACAAACAGTATCACAGCCACAAAAACTGGCCCCCAATCCGCCATTTCTCTTCCCTTTCTTTGCTTCAGCAACTGATTTGTCTCAAAGCACTTGTGATTTCTAGATAAGTGCTTTGAGTGTTTAAGTAATAGAGCTCTACAGAGAGACTTTGGTGGGAAGAAAGGGGAAGATGGGGCGGAGGCTTGGGGCAGAGGAGTTTCTTTGTCCGTCCCACGTGCCTTATTCGAATAACTTGCCTTGCTTTCCTTCCTATCTATCCATATCTTTCAAGGCTTTCTTTGTTTTCTTAGATATTGATTTTAGCTTTTCAATTGTTTTGGTTTCGATCCTTTTTTATTCATTTTAGTTTCTGCATTGTCGAAGCATTCATTTAGTTCATTTATATAGTATTTTAAATAAGAAGTTTCGGTTTATAGCATAAATTTAATAATACCAGTAAGAAACACTTGCAATGGACATGAAATTTCCTAGTTTTATTTTGAAAATTAAAAAAATGTAAAAATTAATTAAATAGTTAAAAGTTAACCTAAGCATAACTACAGCTGTTAAGATATTTTGCTCCTTGCATAGAGGTAAGTGGTTTAGTCTCCTGTCTCTACCTTCGTTGTATTGAAAAAAATTGCTTCACAAGATTGATATTGATAGTAAATCTCATCACCCATTGATCCAATCAGTCAATTTGGAAGTTATGGTATTACTTCACAAGACTGACATTGATAGTAAATCTCATCACCCACTGATCCAATCAGTCAATTTGGAAGTTATGGTAGAATTAAATTGATTTTTCAAAATTATCCAATACTTTCAAAATCAAGAGACACAAACTAAAAAAATAAAAGTAAATCACTTGACCCATATTCCAAAATTTTTACTCTTTTTTGTTCCATGTTCAATTGTGTAGCTTCAATTTTGGGTTATTAAAAAACATTTTGTATGTCCATGAATTCTAAGGACCTACTAGATTTTTTTAAAAAACTCAAAATTAAAAGTTTAGGATTCTGTTTGAAACAAAATTTAATTTTATGTCTAATAGTTCCATTAATTTTTTTAAAATGTCAAATAAGTCAGGGACTATTAGATACTTTTAAAGTTCACGGACTTGTTATATACAAAGGTAAAAATAATTAAGGGACCTATTAAAGGTAAATTTAAAGGTTGAATCACTGAACTTATAATTTTTTTTTATATATTTTTTTGTTTTTAGAAAGTATTAAGTATATGCTATATTTTATAAATGCCTCTCTAAACAATGATTGTTACAAATTACTCGGTCAAGTTTTATAGCTCATATCAACCATTCATTATTTAAATGTTTTAATAGTATGGTTGATTATTGAAGAGTGACTCAAAATATTAAAAATGTATTTAAAGGTGTCAAGGTGAGCATAGCTTAGTAGTAGTTGAAATATATCTCCCCAAACTATAATTATTATCATTTATGATATATGTGGTTTAAATGCTATTTTGGTATCGGTATTTTTTGCGTTGGTCTTTGTACTTTTAATTTTGTTAGTTTAGTCTATATACTTTTAAGACGTCTATCTTAATCCTTATAATTTAAAATGGTGACCAATTTGGTCATTATTTGCAAAATTTTAATATAAATTCTATACACAAAGAAAATCCTTTAGTACAAATTTAAAGTTACGTTTTAAGAAATTTAGCGAGTAAAATGTCATAACGTCTTATTATATTTTAGTTAATTAATAATCCATATATATATGTGTGTATATATATTATTTATTATTATTTTTTTGAGAAGTAATAATTCATAATTGATAACTCGTGATTACTTAGTGAAAATTCAACTGGGTTTTGAGGCCCAATCCAAAGAAGATAGCTACAAAAATACATGTCAGTAAATTGAATGGTTCAAGAAAACAATATATATATATATATATATATATATATATATATTAAATGTCATAAAAATATGAAAGGAAACGTCTGGAAATATTCGAAATATCAACAAGATCCACGGTGTGAATATAAATCTAAATAACAATTATTTATAGTTTGTATTAAAAAAGTGTGAGTTTTTTACAACCCATAATCGATAGTTCAGGTTAACTCACCAAAACTCAAATGATTAAAATATATCCTTACTTTATATTGTATCATTTTTAATAATACAACGTTACATTTTTATTTACTAATAGATTTATGAACTTAAAAAGTGTTGAGTGGATTATTAGATTTTTATTATAAATTCTTAAAAGCTCAAAGACTTGTTGAATGGATAGATTAAATACAAAATAATAAATTCACATACCTTTGCTAGACTTTTAAAATTCAAGGCATAATCATATAGACAATATGTTTTTATAAATTTTAAAATCCAACATTCCTCTTGAGCGTTAAATTTTTATCAACAAATTATCACTAAATATAATATTAATATTAATAATTTTTTTATCGAAAATATTAATAATTTTTAACTTAAAAGTAGTGAAATTTTTATTTTAAATTTAAAGATTTGTTAGATTGTTTAATTTTGATAGTATTTCCAAAAGTATCATTTGAAATCGACATTTTCACAAATTGAGATTTCGACATTTCAAATATCGATATTTAAAATCTTATCTTACGCTAAAAGCGGTGGAAATTAAAAAATAAAATCCAAAAATATAAATTTCAAACAAGTTGTAGGAAAAATGCATTCCTCGAAGCTGTGGTTGCATTTCCACGCACGTCTTTTTCTTTAGTTTAACAGCTTTATCCTAAGATCTCATTCTTCATAAAGACATAATAAATTGAATTGACATGATTGTGACTACCATTTTTATCCAAATAATTGAGCAGACTGCTTTAAATGATAGTGTCCTAAGTTGTTGAAACTTTGCCTGGTGGGTAGATAATTAAATTAATTGTTCTCGTATTTATATGAAGTAAATTTATGGTTAAATTACGAGTTTAGTTCCTAAACTTTTTAAAATGTAAAATTTTAAATTTGTTTCTAATAAGTCCTCAATTTTGAAATATTCTATTTCTATTATATAGAATTCTGGACTTATTCAACATTTTTTGAAATACATGAGCATGATAGACACAAAATTCAAATATGTATACAATATGATACTAACATTTCAATTTTGTCGCTGTTAAATTCTAAAAATGTTGAATATGTTAGAATCTATTACTGTTAGAGATAGAAATGAAAATTTATGGACTTGTTATTAGACATTTTGAGATTGAAGAACTTATTAAATACAAAATTAAAAGTCGGACACTTTTTAAATTTTACAATTTTAAAAGTTCAAATAMGTTAAAGCGTGTAATTTAACCAAAATTCATGGACGTGAATGGCCTACTTTTAGAGATTGAATAATAAACCTAAATCTTTTTAGAAATTACTAATTAGTTTTAATTCTTAAAAATTGGCTAGGGTAAAAACAATCTTTACTTGAGCCAACTCATAAGAGTCATGTCTAGTGGTTGCCGTTTCATTCAAATTCAACCACTCGAAAGAAGGGGAAAAACAGTATAKTACTTGATATTTAATTCTCTTCATATTTAAATCGCAACTACTTGATTTACGACTAATATCGGAAATATATGTCTGGAGGAGTTGAACTGTATTTAAGTTGRTGTTATTTTATTGTTCATATATTACCGTTAATGTTACTAATATGACTTGTAATAAATTGAGGTAGTTTAGGCCTTATTTGGTAATTACGTCCGTTTGATAATGATTTGTATTTTTTATTTGTTTTTTGTTTTTTAAAAATAGATTACTAAACATGTTTTATAACCACTTTTAGATTTCTATTTTTATAAGATTAGAACATTAAAAATATATATTAGAGAGAGAAAATTYGATGTAGGTAGAGATGACAATGGTGTGGGGCTRGGCCATGAGGGAGGATGCATGTCATCTCCCATTCTCGTGCTCGTGAAAATTTTTAGTCTCCCGTCACCACCTTGTTTTTCGGTTAAGAGAATCGAGATCTAGGTTAAAAAATCCTTATTTGCAAACGGGGATATTCGCAAGAAAAATTACCAGTTTTATCATTAATTTTAATTATTTTTATAATTTAAACAAATAAAGTTTTTTAATAAATATATTAATTATTTTTAGAATTATTATTTACTAGTATAAATAATTAGTTTTAAAAAAATATTTAATATTTTATTCACAATATCAAATAAAATATATATTAATTATTTCAAAAATTGAATTAGGGATGAGGTCGGGACATGCCTTTTCTATTTTTGGAGGGGGACCCGATCCTGCAAAAATTTTTGTCATCGTTAATGCATGAAAATACAAGTTTAGAGAGATGAAAATAAACTTTTGAAAGATAAATTTTAGAGAGAAAGAAAAAAAAATTTAGGAAAAAAATTAGTCAAAAGAGAGTTAAAAACAAAAAAAAGTTTTTAGAGAAAAAAAGTAAAATTGAGAAAAAAATGTATGGTAAAGAGAGAGAGAAAAAGAAACTAGAAAGAGAATGAAAACTTATAATGAAAAAAAAATTAGAGATACAAATATAACTAAAAGTCATAGCGAAAAAAAATTGAAAGAGAAAATAAAATATAATTTTCAAATATTCATTATAAAAGATGAAATTTCATAGAGAAAAAAGTTTTAGGAAAATATTAAAATTTTGARAGAATTGTGAGAGTTATCTATTAGAAAAAAAGAAAAAAGAGATGAATTTGTAGAAAGAGAAAAAATAAATAAATATTTAAAATATTAATATTTTAGAAAGAGAAAAATGAATTTTTTAGAGAAAAATTTTCGATGAGAAAAATTCTAGAATGATAAAAAAATTTATTAGAGACAAAGAAAATTTTAGTATTAGATTTAAATCAGTTTCTAAAAACTATATAAAATTTCAAAAACGTTTTCGAAAAATAAAAGAACATAGAATCCAATGAGTGATCAAAATCACCGTTGTTTTTAAAAAATTAAAATCAGAAAACGAAATGATTATCTATTTATTTTTACCTTTCTACAATTAAGGTTACAAATATTATTTACTAATTTACTATTCTTTTGACCCGTAATCAACTTTTTTACCAAAGATGATCAAAATTTTCACTAAAGAAATTGTAAAAAAAATTTTGAAAAATAGAAAATACACCTTAAAATTTCCRCATATAATACTATTGAAATTTTCCCCCATAATCCCTATTGATGCTAAAATCTGTCCTGTGACGTGTACGGGACCCTTGCGAGGTGARGGCAAGCGAGCTGGAAGCGAAAAACCTGCAAAAACAGATAAAGCACAACGCTCAAGTTAGTCATTAATTTGAGCTAGGTATATCAGCTTCAGATATATTTTCATACCTAGTTAAGTGGAATAAAGATGTATTTATAGGGGATGAACGYGTAGTACACATCCCGTAGAATTATTTCAAGGTTGTT